ATCTTTAAAATCGAAGCCTTGAAAGAGCGATTAATTACAATCCACAGATGATCATACTGCATTTAATGATTTTTTAGAAGCATTTCCTTGGATTGTTATACAAACAAAACGGAGGTCTGCGCTTCGTAACGTCAAGTAAGCGTTAAGAAGCGCAGAACTAGTGTACAGATTTCCTGTAGTGCCAAAGAAATCAATTTTCTAAGCTGTCTGTTCCTCGGTATTTCCTTTATTTAGTCAGCACATTAATATCTCATTCAAATGACTGTCTAACGTATGCTCTTTGCTTTGTGAACGCCATACAATATTTGAAGCAGCCTACAAATATGGTACAACGGCAGTGCATTGACACCACATTGTTGTCGAATTTGTAGTACAATCAGCTTGCTTATAGTTCGTGTGCACTCATCTTTTTCTTTCTTTACACTCACAATATTTGATCCTGCCACCTGACAACTTCGTTACGTTTAATGGAGTTGTACGTACGTAACGTTTGTGATGCATGGGTGGGAAGCATTCTCAAGTACTCGGGAGCAGTTTTAAATGAGACCATACAAATTATCACTTTAGGAGCCAAGAGAACTTCGAAATTTGATTGGGACTGTGGTTGGGACAACACGTTCTCAGTTTATGTTATGGACAACGGCGAGAATAAATGCACGAAGCAGAATTTTAATCAAGTGGCCAGCCACTACCTTAATTGAAGCTGCTCGAGAATGCTTTCTAGTCCAACCGTGGCAAAGTTGTACAAAACGCGCAGTTTTACCGCTTTGGTAGCTCATCTTTCCAGTCATTTTCACTTTTTCATATCCCCATAACAAACACAGTTAGAGTTCAATAATGACGGACATTTACACCGAATCTACTTCGCCCAAGCCGACCACAGCCTTTGACGAAACCAACAAGGCCGCTGCTCGTCTAATTAAGCCCAAAGCTATTCTGTATACCACTGCTCTTTTGTCATGGATGCAACCATTTCAAAGCGGTTGGTCCACATCGCAGATGAATCTGTCACAATATCACGACACCGATGAGTGTGATGCCCGGCCTGTGGTGGAGGGAACGTGCCTCATGTTTCCTGGTCACACGAAGCTTGAATGGACATTTGCTGTAAATGCCTGGATCTTTGGTGCCATGGTAGGCTCATTATGCTGCGGTTACTTCAGCGATCGTCTTGGTCGTAAAAAGACATTGATGTTGAATTGTATCTTCATGATTCTTGGCGGTGTTGTGCAGGCATCCGTGTCCAATATTTGGCTTTTCGCTCTCGGAC